CCACACTCTTCTTCCTCTACCCCACACTCTTCCTCCTCTACCCCACACTTCCTCCTCTACCCCACACTCTTCCTCCTCTACCCCACACTCTTCCTACTCTACACCACACTCTTCCTCCTCTACCCCACACTCTTCCTACTCTACACCACACTCCTCTAAGTAGCGGCTTTAACACAACTCAGGTCGTGTTGTGGTAGGGGCAGTGCTTCCTAACCACACCTGTATGCGTGCCTATTGGAGAGGGATACAGGATGGCACTGTCTGTCAACATCGTGATCTCTTTCAATCTCCAGTTAGATAGAGAAGCCCAACAAATACCCATAATTCTAAAGCCTACGGCATGTAGAGCCCCTAACGAGGACAGAATTAAGACCAAGCTAAGTTGTCAGAAAGAATAGAAGCATCCTGTAAAGAATTTGAAATCAAGGAACAGTTACTGCTTCCTAGAGAGGATGTAGGTGCCATCTCATGTCCTTATATATGAAGATCTTGAACTTTTAGACCATGTTCCCTGCCATGGCAAGCCCTTGCTATGGCTCTCTGCTGACAATCATGACAGGCTTCGGTTGTATGACCACATCTATGTCCAGACTATAAACATTTCTCTCCAAAGCTTATTCTAGTGCAATGAACAAGGAGAAATATGGGGGTTAAAATATTTGTAATATACAACAATCTTAAATTACAGCAGGCAGTGCCAAGTCTTTATGGCATTAGGTGTGGCCAAAAAATTTAAAAGAAGGCCCAGTTCTGCTTAATGGCAGGAGGTCTTCCATTTCACTTTGGCCACAAGCTCCCCACAAGTGCACAACCACATAATGAATTATGATTTTATTACATTGTTAGAAGTAGAAGGAAGATATTTAAATGAACTATAAAACATCAAATAAAACAAACTTCCTAATATTAACCAGTTTTTAAAAATTATTATTAGTATTTTTAATTTCTGTATATGTATGTATGCCTGCAGGAGATTATATGTACCATGTGTGTGCAGTGCCCACCGAGGCTAGTAGAAGGAGTCAGACCCCTAAACTAGAGTTCTGCGTAATTGTGAGCTGCTGGATATGGGTGCTGGGAACTGAATCCAGGTTCCTAGAGGCCAGGCAGACCTCCAGATCCTAATCAGTTATAAATGACACTGGATGACCTTAAAGAAAATGTGAGCATGGTAGAGCAAAAGGACATTCCTGGCCCTTTGCTGACACTGGTTTGTAACCCTCTAAACTGACAAGCAAACATTCTACCTAGACTTTAAGAAGGCAGGTTAAGAGGAGTAAGGAGAGCAGAGGACCAAGTAGAACTTGAAAAGCAATTCAGAAAGGGAGACAGCTTTCCTGGGTGACATTTGGAAAGGTTTCCTCTATGGTGTCTGCAAACAAAGATATGAGAGAGAGGCTACAGTAGACAGCCACATAAGCAGACTCAGGGGACTGAGCTAGTGCACCCTCAACACCCCTCCTGCACTGACAGCACACTCCACTGCATACATGGGGTGTCAGAGTTGTGCCTCACAGTTTTTCTGCCCTAAGATGCCAATGGCAGCGGAATTCAGATGGGCTTTTTTTCTCTTTTCCCCAAACTCCTTCTCACTGAAACTGGTGCTACATAGTTACAGCCCTTCAGGGCTGCCCTTGACTAGCTCCAGCCCTTCGGGGCTGCCCTTGACTAGCTCCAGCTCTTCAGGGCTGCTCTTGACTCTGCTACCTACAGTCATTACATTACCAACAGCAAGAATAAAATCTGGCATAATGCAGATCAAAGGGAGATGGAGACTGTTAGCAGGCATACAGCAGTAAACAGCTCTGAAAGAAATTGATGTAAAGTCATCAAGATTTCAGAATATGCAGTTATCTGTCTCTGTCCTTCCCACTGCTGGAGCAAAGCCTTAAAAACCATGTCACCAACATTTCAACTTTAATTTAAAGACTGCAGTATGAACTGGATCGATTCTGTCTCTTTAAATTATGTCCAAGAAGAAAAAGAAAGAAAATCTTGTTTCAAGCTTTACTTGTTGAAGGAAACACTTATCTTCGACATAAAACCATCAGTACTAACTGCCACACAGTGTAAATTACCCAACTATGCTAGCCATCGCTATTATCATTTAAGAAGAAATGACAGGTGTTTGGGACACTTCCATGCTGGGCATTTTGATGTCACATGACTTAATATGCATGCTTACCTCTTGCAAATGAGACTCCTTTTTCTTTGCTGACAAATTTAAATGCTTTTCCAGAATAGAATAGTATTTTTCACTCTCCTTGTCAAACTTCTTCTTTCCATCCTAGGGAACAGCAATTAAAACAAGAAAAGGTTCAGATCAGAGCATCATGGGACCATCACTGTCTCCATCCTCACCGAAAGTACAATCTAGTGAGGTCAAAATCTTAACATAACAGACTAGGAAGAAGGAGGTGAAACACCATTAAGTCTGCATTCTTCTCTCAAAGAGGCTTCCCATCTCTTGGGAAGAAACATGTCCTTAAGCCACGCTCCTTTGGATTCCAGGAACTGTACATGGAGAGACTAAGGTAGGCCACAGCAGAAAAGTCACAAAAGTCTGTAATCAGCTCCCAGGAAGACGCTATCATCTAGCATGCCTGCAATGTGACTGAGATGAAGATGTCTAATTTTTTAAAGACGTTTTTGGTAACTCAGATCAGTTAACACATAACCAGTTTAGAAGATAGCCCACATAACTCTTCACAAAAATCATTTTATTTCCCAACCAGGAGAAGACATCTGACTCTTCATTTCTCCCTTCCTTACCCCTCCACCATGTCTCCTTTCCCCCTTCCCTTTCCTCTCTTTCTCTTTTCTTTTCTCATTCTTTCCACTCATCCATTCATCCTTGGTCATGTTTCACACTGGAACCTGCTATGAAGACCAGTCTGGCCTGGAACAATTGGCCGCAACCCCCTGTTGCTGCTCACAGTGCAGCTGACTGGCTGCCACTGAGCCAGGAAGTTAGTGAATGAATTCACCTTCCGACCAGACTAGAAAGAAGAACGCCCCCCCCCACCCCCCCACCCCCCCCACCCCCGTGCAGTACAGGGCGTGGCTGGGCGGTGACAAGTGTGTCACGTGCAGCCGAGTCCTGTTGTTCCAAACAACTTATTTTTATAGGGAAGAAAGATGTTTTGATGTTGGTAGCTTCAAATAATTAAAATTCAAAGTCAAGCAAGTAAAAGATTAACAATATCTCTATCATATTTCCCTAGATGTAACTCTGATAGCTGTCATTCTCTTTTTCATAAAAGGATTTCTTTTTCTTTTCCTTTCTTCTTGGTGGTGGTGGAACCTGTAAACAGGCTGATCTTTCATGAAGAAAGTGAAGAACTTTCCTCCCCCAGAAGTGTAAATGTAGGGAAACACTGAATTGAGTGGGCACACCTGGGCTTATTGTCACCAGACACCGTGCACCAGGGAAGCCTGCTCCATTTGTGAGTTCGTGTGAAACAGCTCCATGCGTCAACTGCCTTGGCCATTTCAATGTTTCTCAGACTGCAGCCTTGACCAGATGAGGCAGAGGCAAGCGTTTCACACTTTTTTTACACACCTCTCTCTGGCTTCCTTCACCTGCAGAGTCTGGACTCTCTGAAACAGAAGTTCTGTGGTGAATGTCACAAGGCCTTGCTTCAGCACGTGCATAAAGTCAGAGGGGAAGTGAGGCGCTGTTGACAGGGAATGTGTCTGGACCTGTCCCCAAGCACAAGATTTGCAATGAGCAGGTAACTGAGCTGACTGGGAGGAGGGAGTACAGCTCTGCTTGGCCACCTGAGCTGAGCTTTAGATCACTGTGAAGCACTGAGTTACACACTAATATCTGCACAGTGAACTATTACATCTATGGAGGTAGGAGGAAGAGGGCAAGGCTAGCCAAGTGTGGAGGCACAGGCCTGTAATCCCAGCACTTGGGAGCCAGAGGCCGAGGTCAGCCTGAGCCATAAGCCACAAACCTGTCTCCCAAAAAACAAAACAATGTCATCTCTAAGGATATTTATACCTCAGGAGAACTTACAATGTTACCATCAGAAACACAGTGGACGATTACAGTATTTCCATGGAAAAAGGAAGAAGCAGCTACCCAGCAAAAGATATGGAAAAGGCATCCCTCCCAAGACCAGACAAGCCCAAGGGCATGGATGGAAGAGGCTGCTGTGGTCATAGCGCACACGCCCACTCCTGTGCGGTCACCTGGCTGGATGTGTCCCCCCCTCCCGCCCTGCTCTTGGTAGATATTACTGTTTAATCTGCCATTTAATGCCTGCGGCTAACCTGCCCATCCCATTCTCCTTATATGGCCCTCTTCTCTCCCCACCTCCGACCCACTGCCATTTCAGTTCCCTGTTCGTGTTCAGCCCTTCTCTCTTATTCACGGAATTTTCAAGTTGAACCTATGTTCATCTAGCTCAGTCTTAAGCTATGTGAGAGCCTTTATAAGCTTCGGAGGCCATTTCAACCTTCTGGTGGAGAAGCTGCTCATGTCCATGCCCATCTGCCTCAAAACTGAGGAACAAGTGAGTGTGAGTGAAAGTTCCTGGACACACAGCACCTATTACTATGTTTCCGCAGGCTGACTAATGGATTACAATGATCAGTCATCATAGAGAGGTTGGAATCTTGGGTCATAGTCCACCTAATAGCCATTCATCACATTCCTCTGTCTGTGAACTAATACCTTTGTGAGCATTAGGTAAGTACTTTGGCATGTATAAGCAGACACACAGCCTCCCCAAGACAAAAGGCTAAGAATCCCATCAGATGGTATATCTTGGGCCATAACATAGATTTCCTCATTTTAACACCTACTTGGTGTTCCTACCATTAAAAGTGCCTTATTTATGGCTTTGGTTTGCTACTACAAAAACTTAGACTACAAAACTCATTAGACTATTACTGTGTTGAAAAATGAAATTGGTAATTACCTCAATCAGTGTTCCTTAGCCATGGTCAGTCATGACTGGCTCCAGAATAAACTCTTTTCATATCCCCTATCAGGGAGAGTTCTGTTTTCACACTGGCATGAGGGGACAGTAGATATTTAATGAGCAAATAACATTATTATTTTTGTACTGGTAGGCACCACAGTTGGGCACAGGTCTTCTAACCATTCAATCAACTGTTACACAAGACCCAGGAGGCTGTTCTAGAAATGATCTGTAACTGTTTAACTCAGCTACAAGGATGCCTAACATCCGTGTGTGAACAGCTGCACTGGAGGACGGTGCGTCGGGCTGACTCCTGTTGGACAAAGGGGCTCCCAGTCTCACTGGGCCCTGAAGGGGAAGGAAAGGGGTTCAGGAAAAGAGCTCAGCTGCTGGGAGGACACTTGAGTCTTTGTTCTACTTAGTGATTGGTGACATTTTTGGAAATGTTAATTTGATGCCATTACATCAGCACATCTGGCAGCACAAAGATCAATCCTAGAACCACTTCTTGGATTCTTATTCAAACCCTGGCCCACAAGCTGAGATAAAAGACCAGACCACATAAAGGAGGCCATAATGGGGGAAGCGAGCTCTAGAAAACAAAAACCAGCAGTGCTTCTCCTTGCAGGTCACAGCCTCCTACAAGCTGTGATTCACCACTCATGCACTCAGGTCTTTCCTGAAGTCTTAACAGCATGACCCCGTGTGTGTTGTGTGACTAGTTGTGAATATCAAATGAAGAATTCTCTTGGAAACCAGTACCGCAGAGGGAGGAAAAACTGATCCATGAATCTTTATATGTATATAATCAAATGATCACTGTCTTCTTAGTGTTATGGCAAGATCAAAAACAAAAAGAACAACAAAACCCTACCAATTTATTATCAGGACACTTTCCTAAAAGCTACTTTGTATTTGGTCACCGTTTAAAATGAAACCAGTGAAAATGACGGCTTGATGGACAGAGAAATAGTGGTAGAAGGGGTTACTGGATAAGACACTGCAGACATATGAAAACTGGACTGTGTTTAGCATCTTGGTTGGGACAGACATGTGTTTATGGAAACCCACAAAAAGACTGACACAGAGGTCAAGGACATAAATTCTATATAAAATAGTCCGAAGTGTCAATCTAGTCCTGAGACCCCACCTCAGCTAAGAATGGTGGCCATTAGCACAGCTGGCAACCTGCTGCTTTCTCAAGTCACAGAGTATGGACTCTGCAGAGATCTGTGATTCCTGAGTCACTGTGTCTGGGCCACACCTTCTCTTTACATAGTGACCTGGGGTGCTGGGGGAATCATGGCAATTCAAACTCCAAGTGCCAACTTCACCATCAGAATGGTTATCTATTATAACAAATCAAACAATTGCAAAATTTTAGTCATACCATGTATATAAAAAAAAATAAAACACACTACTGCTAAAACAAGGCTAACTCAAAGCCTTATGCAGGCTACAAGAGGATGCTTTGGAGAACAGTGTGGTGGTTTGAATGAGAACGGACCTCATAGGCTCATATGGTTAATATTTGCTCCCCAGTTGATGAAAATGTTTGGAAAAGACAAGGAGGTGTGGTTTGGTTGAAGGAAGTGTGTCACTGGGGGCAGGCTTTGAGGTTTCACAATATTCATGACATTCCCAGTCTCTCTCTCTCTCTCTCTTCCTCTGACTTAAAGATCAAGATGTCAGCTCACATCTGTGCCTTCTGCCATGATTTCCACCACAATGGCCATAGACTCACTCTCTGAAACCATAAGCCCCAAATAAACTCTTTCTTCTATAAGTTGCCTTGGTCTTGGTGTCTTATCACAGCAATAGAAAAGTAACTAAGACAAACAGACCCTACTACATTTTGATAATTCAAATACAAACGTTTAAAATGACAATCATGTTTTCTCATTTTGTAGAGTTGGGTAAGAAGATAGTTTGAGACCGAGTTTAATACTGTTTCCCAGGCTAGCCCAGAACTCACTATATTCCCTAGGTAACAACAATCCTGCCAGAACTAACCATAGTACTAGTTATATTATTTCCTAGAGAAGACTACTATACAAACCTATTTAAATAGCAGTATTGGCAATCTTTAATAGTTCAAAAATCAAGGAAGTGAATAAATATTTTTAAATTTTTTTCACAAATTGAACACAAATTTAGGATTAATTCTTCAGATTATGTCAGTGTTGCAATTGCCACTCAGGCTACCATAAAATTTCTGCTGAAACTGATTTCCCATCCCCTTAGTGTGGCCGCTGTCTAATACACAGGAGCTCCATGCTTTGAGACATCAAGGAGCTCTGAGGATGGCGATAGGAAGCATATCAACGGGAACATTTCTACTGCAAAATAAGGG